GGGGGGGGGTCGCAAATAAAGTAATACAACTAGCTTTTCCTTCCGTTAGAGGTTGAGTCAAGTCTTTTTTAAATTTGTTCCAACTCTAGAACCAAAGAAAACATCTCTCATGCAGCTGTAAGTAATATTTTTATGTAGACCACTGCCAAGTAGGGACATTTCAATCCCATCAGGAATAGAGAGTAGGACGGAAATTGTTCTTTCTCTCATGACATAAGCCTTTATTTCCTCGCCTGTCCTTCTGTGCTGCTAGAGGAGCTTGAGAGAGAAAGTCATGTGGCGATGCCTGACGTCCAGTTCTCTCCAGGGAAATAAATTCATTTAGCTAGTTTAACATTCCTTGGTGAGCTATTAACGATTGGTTGTTTGGCAGAGGTGATTTCTTCTCCGCGACACGAAGAAAAATAAAATATTAAAGGAAAACATAACGTATTTGAATAACGGGAGCATGGTCACGCAGCATATTCCTGGAACAATCAATACCATGTACAGCAACCCCCTCTGTCGCCGCAATTCACTCAGTTCACTGTGTAGTCAGGCATTTCAGTTTTTTCTTAAACTGGCCCAGAGGGAATCTATTTTGGTTTTGAAGACTTGCATTCACGAACTATTTATTTAACAAATACTAAGTACCTGCTAAATGCCCATTTTTGGGCTGCATCCCGGGGACAGAGTGGTGACTCAGACAGAACCCTCCCAGCCTAGGAGCTCCCCCTCCTACCTCCCTGCAGGAGAGCGCACGAGGTGAAAGCCTTCGTGCTTAGAGGCCAGTTAAACAAAACTCCGCAAGGGAAGGAAGCCCTGACCGGTTCTGAAGTGCTGTTTCGTGCGCGGCACATTTTAGAAGGAATACCCTTAATCGCTCTTTCTAAACATCTTCCACCCCACCCCTGCTTACTTTTTTTCAATCCTGCTTTCTTTCCCTTCCGCTCCTAATCCCCACTGGACAAGTTCGCTGTTCTTTCCACCTCTGAGAGGTAGCTGACCCACAGTAGGGCTTTTGTAGTCGCCGAGAGAATGAACTTGAGAGAGAGAAATCCTGGTTTTGTAAAGGAGACCAAGAGTCGTGACTTCAATGGTTTGTTCATGACCGTGCCACCCTTAGGTCAGAAATCAGGGGCTTAAACCTCGGCGTGAAGGCAAAGCCCGCCTTCGTTCCACAGCCACGCCTCTAAACTGCTCCTGTCTCCTTTCGGCAAACACCGTTGTGTGAAACGCACTTGCAGGTGAGAGGTCTTGCCTTCAAGAGCCTGACAATCTAGTTACCAAGAAAAAAAAGGAAGGAACGAACATGTCTGGAGATGCAGGTGGGCGTGTAAGGCAGGGTCCGGTGGGGGAGGCATCCCGGGGACCGCGGCCCGCAGGAGGGTGAGCGGGCCTGGCCTGGGTCTGCAGCGCCCTTTCCCCGGCCGGGATCTGCTGTCCCCGGAGCGCGGGCGGGTAAAACAGCAATGCCCCCGCAGCGCACGGCTCCCGCGCGCCCTCTCCGAGCCCTGTTCGCACCTGGGCCCAGAGAGCAGCAGGCTCTCCCGGCTCCCGGCAGAGGCGAGGCGGCCGAAGGTTACGGAAAGGCTCGTTTGGGCAGGGTTTGCAGAGCTTGCGTCCCGGGAGAACATTGTAGCAACTGAGCTTGTTTTGCATAGAAAATAAGAAAAGCCTGGGCGTGCGGGGGCGAGGAGCTAATGCACCACCAGAATGCGCTGGCTGCCCTCGCTTACCCTTCCTGGGTAAGCGTTTGAAGCGTCCTGCTCTGGAAGCAGAGGGTTTGAATTTATTCTCCTGGGTACCAGCAAGTGGAACCGCAGGGCGAAGGCCTGATGGAAACACGCTTCTACCCCACGCAAAGAAATACGTGCCTTGGAATGAGCTGCAGGAAATGTCTGCGCGGAGTTCCCAGGCCGAGGCGGGCTGCTCCCTGGGGCCCCCTGCGGAGGAAATCTGCGGCCCGGGCCGCCGGC